ATCATTTTACAAAGTATATTTATATCAAAATGTCATGCTGTATACCATAAATCTATATAATTTTTATTTGCCAATTATGCCCTAATAAAACTAGAAAATAAACAATAAGATAAAAAGGAAATGTTTTTCCTACCAAGGAAAGACATTCCAGTAGCAGATTCTGCATCACTAATAAGAGATGCCAGAAACAATAAAATAAAGCTCTAAAAGTGTTAAGGTAAAATGACAGTCAACCTGATATTCATTGCACAGTTAAACTAATATTCCAGAGTAAGTGCATAGTAAAGTGATTTTTAGACTTTCAAAGTCTGAGAGCAATCACTTCCTATAATCTTTGCTATAACAAATACATCAGACTGGTTCCTTTTTAATATCCACTCCAATGGCTTTCTTACATTATAGAGGCTGAGATGCTATAAAAAATGACGAATCTTGAACCCTTTTGTAGTTAGTGATCTGCTTGTGACTCAGATTCTGGTAGGGGACAAACTCACAGGGACTTGGAAAGCAAAAGTGAGCTATGTAAAGTAGAGGCTGTGAGAACGTCAAAGAGCTCTTCTGGAAAATCCTGAGTTGGGGGCACTTGGTTCATCTGCTGCATCTGCAGCAGAGATTTTACTATCCTAATCGTTTAATGAGAACCAATTGCAGCAATAGGTTTTCTTAAAGTGCAGTCTCATAGAATAATTGGGCATTTCTCTTGGTTGACTACTTCTGCTTGTTAAACTTCCAAACCTTGTTCCCTAGTGTTCCTGAAAATCTTGCAATCTCTCAGCTATCCTGTAATAAATCACTCTTACATTTAAGCTAGCTAGAATGATTTTTGTTTTCTACCACAAAGAACAGTGATCAATAAAGAATTCATTCCAGAAATCCTGACAGACTACAGACTTTCAGGACATGGGAATCTGGAATTTATTCTTATTTCACAGGGTTTGAAGGCCATGAGGATTGGGTAGCATTATAGGATGAGGCACAGGTGTCCCAGAGCACACAGTGGACAAGCAGTCACCATTCACATTTCCACCAAACATGTGAATTTGTGAGGGGTCAAATGATAATAGGGAATTTCGATTTATGGCCTACTCATGGCTTGGGGACATGCATCTAGCCTGTAGTTAGTTCCTGACTTCCTAAGTGTAGAGATGGAATACTTAAAACTGGCAGAATCTAAACATGAGAACAATTATAGTAGTGTTACATGCAGGCCCCAGGAGCTTCTCCTCCCAGTGGAGACAGTAAACCAAAAGGAACATCATGTCCTTGGAGGAACCATAAAGGCTTGTCCCAACATCAAATATTTGAAAGGTATGGAGATGGGGATTCCTATTAAAGCCCATTTGAGTTACTTGCTTGGTCTCTACCTAAGACAGATGGGTTTTAGTTCACATGCATAGAACTGGGGATAGCAAAGTACCCAGTTTCTCAACAGAAGTGCTAGAAAATAGAAGAGAAAGGAAGAAATGCTGACTGGCAGCGTAATGGCCCCCAAATGTTCATCCCAATCCCTAGAAGCTGTGAATATGTTCAGGCAAAGGACAAGTAAGTTTGCAGATGGATGTAAGGTTGCTAATTAGCTGACTTTAATAATTAGCAACCTATAATAATAATAGATTATCCTGGATTACTAGGTCAACCCGACGTAATCACAAAAGTCTTGAAAAGTAGAGGGCAAGGGCAGAAGAAGCAAGTCAAGGAAATATGACTATGAAAGAAGTGCGGAAAGATGCAAAGTGGATGGCTTTGAAGCTGGAGGAAGGGACAAAGGGCCACAGGATACGGATAGTCACAAGAAGCTGAAGACGGCAAGGAGACAGATGCTTCCCAGAGCCAGTAGAAAGGAGTGAAGCCCTGCTGATGCCTTAATTTTAGCTCCAGGACATCTGTGTCAGACTTCTGAGGTACTACAGAACTGTAAGATCATGCGTTTGTGTTGTTTAAGCAAATAATACTGTGGTCATTTGTTAAGGCAGCAATATAAAACTAATATAAATGTCTTCAAAATTCTAAGAGAAAATGCTTTTCAATCTATTATCCTGTATTTAGACATGCTGCTAATTAAATGTGAGTTTCAATTAAAGACATTACAGGCATGCAAGATCTCAAAAGAAATGAATTCTTATGCATCTAAGCAGTCTTGGGAAATTGCTGCAAGATATGGACTTCCAAAATAAGGGAGTACACCAAATATGAAAAAGACAGGAACCTTGGAAACTTGCCTAGAGCTAACACTGGAGAAAGCAGAAGGGAAGTCCTGGGAGAACGGGTATTCTGCAGATGTGGGGAGCAACTAGCCCAGAGCAAAGGAGCATATATAGCTCAGGTGCTCGAGGGGAACCAGTTCTGGTGGTGGCTGGCACAGCACTCAAAATGTGTAGCCAAGTCTCAGAGGGGTTTTAACTGGAAAAATTGGAGAATTCATGATATAGAAAACTAAGCAAATAAACACAGGCAAATTTTAATTCCAGAAAAACAAAGTTGTTTTGAAAAGGAAATGTAATTGTTATATCTTGATTGCTTTGGCAGTGAACTGTATTTGCACGTTTTAATAATGCAAATATAAATGGAACGTGACTGGAAGGACGCAGGGGAGAAAAGTGAAGGCCTAGACCTCTAGGCCTCCATTTCCATTGGTGTACTGCTTGTTTGTTTATAGACTGCAGGAGCACAGAACTGGATTGATCAGACTCCAATTCTGGTACTCTTTTAATGTTGGTCCATGTGTGACCTGCTTTTAGCCATCTGGTTCTTTTAAATAATGTAATAAAAATCCAGCAACTCACTGCCCAAAACAAAATATGTACCTAGACAATTATCTAAACTTGTCCCTATCCCATACTAACCCACAACCCTTTTCCACCATGTGGGGTCACCAACATTCTGAATTTGGTGTTCACAATTCCTTTGCCTTCCTCGTATTTCAGCTGATTCACAACTAGTCTGAAGACAGGGTCCCCAGTGGACTAGAAACAGAAATAGAGAAGGAGCTATTAAAATAAAGCACTATCCCCATGAAGTAGCAGATAGTTTTATTCTCTGCAAGAGAGATTCTAAAACCTCAAAAAAGATTCTGAGCCCCAGAGTTTTCTCACATTAAATATCATTGTTTTTTTAGTCTTCCAAAAAAGCAAATAGCATTGCATTTATTTCATTTCTTCCTTCCCTAACCACTCCTTGAAATGAAAGAGAATTGGGTGGGGGGAGGTGCACGGAGATACAGAAGATGCTGAAGATGCTGATGATCAGCGCTAAGGGGCTGGCAGCATCCACCTACCATCCCCAGGCTACACTCTAAGCCAGGCATGGTTCCCCAGTGGAAGCTCCAAGATACCATCTTCCCAGATTCCTCCCTGAATCCAGACACCTGGGAAGGACTCCTATCATGATAGAGATCCCTGTGGCACATCACAGCAAGCTTAGTAGCTGTGAGGGTTTAGTGGAGTTCCATCTGTGCTACCTGAGAACCCTGAGTCCCAGGCTGGCTATGGAATGGCTATTTTCCTTGGCAACCTGCCATCATCAGTGATATTGCTTAGATATTTGTTCCCTCCAAATCTCATGTTGAAATTTGATCCCCAATGTTGGAAATGCGGCATGGTGGGAAGTGTTTGGGTCATGGGGACAGGTCCCTCATGACCAGCTTGGTGCCATCCTTGTGGTAATGAATGAGTTTTCACTCTATGAGTTCCTGGGGGAAATGATTGTTAAAAAGAGCCAGGCACTTGCCTCCTCTCTCTTGCTTCCTGCCTCTCATCATGTGATGCCAGGTGCCCTTCACCTTCTGCCATGAATGGAGCTTCCTAAGGTCTCATGCCAGTGGCAGATGCTGGTGCCATGCTTCTTGCACAGGTTTCTGAACTGTGAGCCAAATACATCTCTTTTCTTTATATATTACCCAGTCTCAAGTATTCCTTTATAGCAACTCAAAGTGGACTAAGACAGTCAAGCAGCCTTCAGCAGCTTGGGAGTCACTTGGAGGCTTTTTTGGAAGACAATTTTAACCAGAATTGACCTTACAAAGCAGCCATAGATCTTACCTGTCCTAAAATGATGGATTCCTTGACCACTGAGCTGCAAGAGTCTTTGGAGCTCATCTAGTCAAGCATTTCCCAAAGTATGTAACTCAAGCAGTAGATTTTTAGGATGGTTGATAGACCTTACCCAAAAAGGTGTCTCTTAATGAGAGAAATGTGAAGAATCCTAGATTTTTTAAAAATTAAGATTCTATTCTACATACTTTCTCAGAACCTAATCTCCAAGAGGGTGGCTTATTCCCAGTTTAGCTGTGCATGATCTTTAGGAGGTTACCTAAGTTAGCTGAGCCTGGTTCCTCATCTGCATAATAATGCCCACCTTGGAGGACTGCTGTGAAGGTGAGTGAGATAATGAGCTCCGAGGCATTCAGCACAATCCCTCACATAGACAGTGGTAACACATTCTTAGTTCCTTCTCCTTCTGTGCCTTTCAGTTTTCTTTCAAATTTTCCTCTAGGCATAACAAATTACCCCTATTTACAAACTTCTGTGAAATTGTTTGAAACTAATTTCCTGAACTTTGAATGGCTTCAGGTAATTAGGTATGTAATGAAGGCTTACTCAGCTCACCTGGTAGGACAGCAGGATCCCAGGCTACCGGGGCCGAATGGTCAACACAGGGAATGCGGTGTGGACCGCACACTGGCAAGTGGGAGAATCGCTCTCAAGGCTTGAGTGGCAGCTTCGCCTCATCCTGAGTCACCGAGGAACAGATGCAGTCCCAGGTTCAAACATGCAGCGCAGATTTATAACCACAAAAGAGGAAACTTGGGGAGCTGATTAATGGAAGAAACACTAGATGAAGAGGCAGAGGTTCCTCAACTGGCTATTTACTTTCTCAGAGCTTGAACCTCTGCATCTGTAAAATGCAGGGTTGGGTAGACACTCTTCATGCTCCGTTCCTCTAATCCCCGCTAACCCCAACTTAAAGGTTACCAGTTGTGACATAATTGCAAATCCAAGAGGCACAGTCCACACACCTGAAATAAATTTTATTGAGATGAGCAATTTACGACAAAACACTTTGCAGCACATTGGAAAAACTCACGTTTCACAAATTTTACATTCACAAATACAAGTCACTTTTGCTCAAAGGCACACAGGGACCTTGGGAAAGGTACAGACCTAATGAGCCATCAGTGGGTGCTCCCCCAGAAAAGCGTTTTCTCTGAAACTTGGCAGTACCAAAGGTCCTTAATGATGGTTTAACTTAGGATTTTTAAAAATTGTATGATGATGTGAAAGCAATACACATTGAGTAGAAACCATACTTCGCATATCCATACAACCATTCTGGTTTTCACTTTCAGTACAGTAGTCAATAAATTACATGAGATGTTTAATACTTTATTATAAGATAAGCTTGGTGTTAAATGATTTTGCCCAACTGTAGACTAATAGAAGTGTTCTTAGCACATTTAAGGTAGGCTTGGCTAAGCTACGCTGTTCAGTAGGTTGGGTGTATTCGATGCATTGTCCACTTCCAATATTTTTGACTTACCATGGGTTTACTGAGATGTAAGTCAAGGAGCTTCTATATTCCTAGACACTCTCGGAGAGGAGGGAAGGGCAACATCCTCCATGCTTCCCAGAGCAGGACAAACCTGTATCCCTGCTGCCTTGTCTCATTCTGGTTCACAGACCTTCTATGGCAACATTCAGATGAAATCATTAGCTACTTCTTGACACAGCAGAGACAATAAGTACAGACACATGAGCCATTTGTCCTGAAAAATCCATGTGGGGATCCCTGTGCGCTTAGAAGACTCTTTCTGCCCAACGAAAGTCACATTTTTGTCCATAATTCAGTAAGTGAGTTTTCAAAATTTAGTGTCTTGAAAATTTTCAGCCATCTTCATAGATAGAGAAACTAGGATAATGAACCCTCATAGTTCATTATATGGAAGCAGATGATGTGACCAAGTTCAGTTTCAACGAACAGCCAAGAGGTCTAAGTGACAAACTCTTTCTCCCTCAAACCTTAGTTTCCTACTGAGCTCATATCCATGCTTTGCTTTCAGGGTTTATCTGGTGCTAGGAGGAAACCTATAAACCAGGGCTAAACCAGTGTGACAGCAGCGATTGTTTAGAGCAGGTGAATTAAGCTGGATTCTGCCTGACAGGTCTATTTTCTGGTGACACAGTGAGCCACTCAGGAAGGTGATAAAAAACAATCAGTCCTTGGAATGAGATTTCTCTGGCAAGTTAGACCCTTAAGTATTAAGGTTTCTTAAGGATTCCACAGGTTTCTGAAAGCGAAAGTGACACCTGAACCACTAAAATGATGTCGATAGCAAGAACCCTCATTATTCAGACAACACAGAGAAGCGACCTGTCTAGACAGCTTGGAAGGATGAGGTGTCTAAGCACAATTACGTTCAGCATATTGGAAAGTCTGCTCCCTCATCTCTTGTGAAAACAGAACAATTTTTCACCACCTTTTGCTTTTGCGTGATTGAGGGGGAGAAGGAATCTTATGCCTCCTGGTTGAGTTTGATTCCCTGGTTCATCTTGAGGCTGCTCTGAGGAGGAGCATGTGAGTCAGGCCCTTCCCACCACTGTCTACAATAAGGGCCAGTTCTGCCTGCATGGTGACAGGCTTCACTTGGGTTTTCTCACCTCTTCAACTCTTCTGGTGGACACCCCTGGGAAAGGTGGTCAGAAATATTTTGCTGTGCCCCTGTTTCTTATCATTACAATCTAAATGAAAAAGTGTAAATGAAAAAAAAAAGTTCATGCAAACATGCACACACACACACAAAGGAAAATATTGCAGATAGAGCCACAGCATGTTCACAGATGTTATCACAAATTGATGGGATAAGAGAGTGATTGCATGTGTGTGTGTGTATTTGCTTTTTCTGAATTTTTCTAAGTGGCAATAATAATTTCCCTTTGTTTTAAGGAACCCAAGCTGGTCCTTTCTTGTCTGGATACTGCGAGGCCACTGAAGACTTGTGATTCTTCATGGCCTAGTGACTCCAGAAAGTGAGGCATGAAAATCTCCATGCCAGCTCTGGCTTGCTGGCATTTCCCTGGCCTGTGCACCTGTTTCAAGCAGAGCTCTGTGCATCTGGGTCACCATACCCAAAGCATGATTCAGGTCTCCCTTTGGGACGCTCAGCAGTAGGAAAGGCTGTAAGGCAGCAGCTGCCTCACAGATGGAGGCAGTTGAATGATTCAGCCCCTATCTGGGCCAAAGTTGTCCTCCGTCCACTTCCTCAGAGATCCAGGCTGCTATACCTCCAAGTATTTCTTAGATGGAAATTTATGAACACATGTCTAGTTGGTGGTGCCTTTTAATTTTCACATCACATGGGGCTAGGAGGCTGGATAGTTTCCTAAGAAGTGAAGAGTCCTACAGCTTCTGCAGGAGTGTGTTTCCAGCACTGTCAAGATCGTGTGTGAGAACAGGGTTCTCTTTCTCAGATGGAGATAGACCCCTCCCATTGCCTCTTTCCTACCTCCTCTAACTCATCGTCACAATGGGTTCCACAGATGACAGATCTGTCTTCCCAGACTGGAGTTGGGAGGTGGCCAGGAGGTTACTGGTGAGGGGAGCCCTCTGGCCATCACTCTTCTCTGTCCAGGCCACCCTGAAAGAAGGAACCGGGGAGGGCAGCCTCTCCTCCCGAGGCTTAGGAGGTCTTTGGCACATGTTCAGTAATGCCTTTAGCTCAGTCCTGAAGTTCTCGTTCAGCCAGCAGTATATGAAAGGGTTGTAGCAGGTGCTGCTCATGGCAAACCAGTGGAAGGCAAAGTAGAGGGCATTGTTGGTGCGGATGACCTTGCTGGACAACAGGAGGACATAGCAGTTGAGGGGGAACCAGCACAGGGCGAAGAGGACCACCACCAGCATCAGCATCTTGATGGTCTTCTTCTTTTTGCGCCGCAGGGCAAGGTACTGCTCTGTGGTCACATCGCCAATCGTGTTACACAGCCACAGTTTCTTGGCCACACGAGCGTAGGCCACAGAGATGATGAAGAGGGGCAGGATGTAGAGTAGGATGAAGGTGGCCAAGTCCAGGTACTTCCAGAAGAGGTCAGCCGGCTCAGGGAAGTCCGGCAGGCAGAGGGAGCGCACAATGTCCTCGCTGGGGGCAGGAAGCCGGAAGGCAGGGAGAGTTAACAGAGGGGGGATATTAGTGTGGAAAGCCTTCATCCCAAGAAGCAATGACCTCTCCTTCCACCGGGCTTCTGGTACGTCCATCTAATATAGCACTTTTGATGCTGTAGCCTAATTATCTGATGACATTTCTTCCTCCCCAACTAGGCTGAAAATTGCACAGAGGTAAATAATACACCTGAATTTCTCTGTGTTCTCTTAATCTTGTGTTATACTCATAGTAGAAACCCAATAAATATTTGTTGAATAAATGAATGAAACACTCATGTTCTCAGGTTGAAAACGCATCCTTGAAGAACTCTTAGACTTTTCCATTTAAAAGGGAAAACTTTTCAGTTTTAAAGGGAAAACTAAGTCATGAACAAAGAAATGATGGGTCTTGAGCATATGAGTGGTAAAGGCTGAACTAACATTCCCTTCAGCCACTCACAGAAAAAGTCCTTATTTTATATGGAATGTACCCCAGTCCTCTTCAGCCTTTTAAGGAATGCCCATGTGGCTTGGGGCGCTAGTTCTACGTGCTGGTGGCTATCACTAACAAAAGAGAGAGGAAACTTCCTTTATTTTTTGTTGGGGAAAAAAAGTCTTCCGTATGGAAAGGTAGAAGGGCAGTTTGGATGTTGGGGGGTCTAGGTGTGTGATTCATTTCACAATCCTAGAATTCCTGGAGGGGGCCTTTATAAATTAGTTGAATTCTGCCTTCTGGGTTTGTTTCTCTTAACCCTGATTTTGTCACAGGTGTGTGTGTGTGTGTGTGTGTGTGTGTGCATGTGTGCGCATGTTATAGATGCGGTGGCGCATGGTTCCTGTGGCAGACACCCCCTGGATTCCCTCAGAACCCCTTTGATTGTTGGAGAACTAAGCCCTGCCCTCCCACAAGAAACAGCTGGTACTTGCCATCTTCTAGTGCTTAGGACTCCCCTAAGGTCACTCAAGCCCCTTCCCTCAGATTCACTATAGCCGTAAGTGACCAGGAGTTTCCAATTTTCCTAGGGAGACCTGTAACAAAAGACTGAGAGATGGAGGAATAGGAAAGCCCAGCTCCCTGGCCTCGAGGTGAGGCAAACTCTGTACTGTCAGTCTTCTCCAGAGCTCCCTGTGGAGCAGGGGCAGCTTCCCCTGAAGTCACACCCTTCCTTGGTCTCTTCCTGGTCCCCGTCCAGCCTCTGCCACTCTCTTTCCGATTGCTCCTGGGAGCACTGCCTCAATTAGCCCCTTGCAGGTGTACCTGCCTTTACCGCAATACCTGTCTCTAAAGAATCTCATCTAAAACAACAAATGACAAAAATCACTCTAAAAGACTGGGCACAGTGGCTCACACCTATAATCCCAGAACTTTGGGAGGCCGAGGTGGGTGGATCACCTGAGGTCAGGAGTTCAAGACCAGCCTGGCCAACATGGTGAAACCCCGTCTCTACTAAAAATACAAAAAATAAGTTGGGTGTGGTGGTGAGTGCCTATAATCCCAGCTACTTGGGAGGATGAGGCAGGAGAATTGCTTGAACCCAGGTGGCGCAGGTTGCAGTGAGCTGAGATCCTGCCATTGCACTCCAGCCTGGGCAACAGAGCAAGATGTCTCAAAAAAGAAAATCACTCTGAGATCATTCATTCATTCAGTAAATACGTACCAAGGGCTTGTTACGTGGAGACAGTAAGCTAAGTGTTGGGATCACCAAGATAACAAGGAAACGGCCAGTTCTTTCCAAACTGACAGTCCAGTAGGGAGATCCCCTAATGAACCAGTTTAAGCTTTAAAAAACTGAGTGTTGAAAGAAAGCCATTCTCATTCAGTGAGAACTATGATAAACATGCAGGAGGTCAGAGAGGTAGAGAAGCCTGCCTCAGGGGCAGGCAGGCATGCAGATTTTGTTTGTAGTTAGTGTGAAAGGATTTACACTTTGCTCCTTTTCCACAAGGCCTTGGTGACTCACATCTCAGGCTGTGTGAGTACAGCATCCTGGTGACAGAAGCTGATAATTACCGCTTTGTACTTGCAGAGAATCCGGAAAGAGAATAAGGAAGAAGCTAAAGAAGAAAGCAAGCAGACAAAATGTAGAGGATAGGCATGGACCAGGAGGTAAGAGGATGGGAGCGAGGCAGAGAAGGGCTCGGTGAGGCAGATCCTAGTTACTCAGAGTTGTGAGCTCCTGGCGGCCTCAGGTATCCCTTGGTTGAGCCTGACTCGGGAGAAGACACGAGTGCCCAGGCGGATCGCTACGAATTCATCTCACCTGTATTTGAAGGTAAATAATTTCTGGCAGATAGCGTGTGGGAGTGAAAAGAACGTAGCCATGGTCCAGATGACAGCGATGTAGATGACACCCTTTGTGATTGAGATCCGGGGTTTCAAGGGATGCATAATGACCTGGAAAACAAGCAAACCGCATCATTAACTGAAGACGTTTTGAAACAAATCAGAAATCTGGGCCAGGTGCAGGAGCTCACACCTGTAATCCCAGCACTTTGGGAGGCTGAGGCAGAAGGATCCCTTGAGCCCAGGGGTTCTAGACCACCCTGGGCAACACAGTGAGACCCTGCCTCATAATAATTTTTAAAATTACATAAATATATAAAAAGCAATCTGGATGGCATGGCTCACTTGTCACATAAGGCAGGCCCTATTGATAAAGTCAAGTACCACTTACGTTCATTACTGAGCCCCTGAGCTATACCAGGTAGCTGCTGAAGGAGAGGAAGCCCAACCAAGCCCCACCTAATAGCCCACCTCCAGAGGTGGAAAGAAAGGGTCTTCTGGATTTAGAGACCCCAGGCAGGTCATACTCAGGCAGGTCATACATCTGCCTCATGCTGGTCATACTCAGGCTGAACCAGGGGCCGGTGAGAGGACCAGGAAGGTCCGGGAGGAAGGCTGTTCACATGGCACCAGAGCAAGTCTGGGAGAGGAGCAAACCCACAGTCAGTCCCACCTCCTCAGGACCTGCATTCATCTTCCCATGATTCTAGACCCCTTAGGTTGTGATGGACTCTGATAAGGTCTGAGCTGACAGACAGGAAGAGGCCATTCTCATCACTCATCCTGGGAAGCTGCATGGATACTTATGTGTAAGCTCCCGGCATGTTTATGAAAGCCGTTACCAAAATTGCACGAGGGCCCAGCTCTCATACACCTATAATAAAATCAATGTTACAGGCTTCAAGCTGAAATGCATCTTAGAGTTGCTACTGAATGCCAATCAATTCTCCCAAAAGGTTTAAATAAAGACTTAGGGATTTTAAACCATTCTCATATCAAAATGAGAAACATTATGTTTTGAAAAAGGCATTTTGGGATAGGTGAGTCCAGGGTCAGGAAGAAGAGGTGAGGAAGAGCTGCCACCACCTCTAAATGCCATCCCAGAACACACTGGACCTTCTGGCTGTGTCCTGAATTTTTTTTATTCCTCTCAATGTTTTCAAGGTTTTATAAGAAGAAGCAATGAGACTTCAGAAGCTGCCAGCACACCTCTGTTCTGGATTCAGCCATCTCTGCCCCTCACACTCCTGTGTTCAGATTGCTGAAGGGAGTGGCAGCCTGGGCCAGAGGCTCCAAGCCAGGCGTCCCCAAACTATGGCCCGCGGGCTGCATGCGGCCCCCTGAGGCCATTTATCCGCCCCCCCGCCGCACTTCAGGAAGGGGCACCTCTTTCATTGGTGGTCAGTGAGAGGAGCACAGTATGTGGCGACCCTCCAACGGTCTGAGGGACAGTGAACTGGCCCCCTGTGTAAAAAGTCTGGGGACGCCTGCTCCAAGCACTTCTCAAGGTCTCTGTTGGCCTTGGGACAGAGACCCTTGTTGGGGTATATGTTGCAGCAACATGGTCAAAATGAGCAAGGCTTAGCCCCCATTCTTCAGACTCAACCTTAGCCCATGGTCAACACTCGGCTACATTAATCTGGGGTAAGCACAGGCCAGGTAAAGGTAATCCGAAGTCCTTCTAGATAAATGAAGGGAGATGGTTAAGAAAAGACAGGAAATATTTATATGCAAACTTTTCACACTTTACACTAAAGCACCTGCAACATAAATTAAGAGTTGATTCTTACAAAATTATGGCATTTCAAAGATAAATGTTGTCTCTAACCCGCAATTACTCCTCTCTCCTTTCCTGTGGTTTTCCAGGTTTGCTTTTCTATCCTCAAAACAAGCTCACTAATTTCTGAGACAGAAAAATGCCAGCAATGAGTCTTCATCGGATCAACAAAGAATAACTTTTTGTGACCCTTAGGACAAAGGGTTTAATATCCGTAACCTATGTGTTCATGTTGATCAAGAAGAATACCAAGATACTCACTGAAAAACTGGGCTAAAACCGTGTCTTCAGAGCCCCTGCAACTTCCTGGAAAAGGGAAGCAAGAGAGGGAGGAGCAGGGCATTAGAGGTAGGTGCCCTCACCTGGTGGCGGTCCACTGCAATGGCGGTCAGCGTCAGGGCTGAGACGTGCAGGGAGCAGTACTGGGCGAAGCGGCTGACGTGGCACATGCCCTTCCCAAACACCCACGTGCTGTTCACAAAGCGAACCTGGAGATGAGCCCAAAGACGTTAGGAGACAGGCCCACCTCTAATAGCTTCTTGCTGTGAGGCCTTGGGCAAAATAGGTAACCTGAACCTCAGTTTCATTTGCAAAAAAAAAAAAAAACCCCTCGAAAACCTCTGCCTTATAGGCTTAGCATATGGTTTAAATTTTTTCAGTGTCTGTAAAGGGTAAAACACAATGTCTGGCAGATTGTTCTATTATTAGAAGTAAATAGTTGCTATTTTTATGTGCAGTCATAAAATTCATTCTTGGTCCACACAAGTTCACTCTAGTGTGAGAGAAACATCTGAATTGTCACAACAGAGCATGTTGGCTGTGCTGGCAAATCTTGGCTAAACTGGCCTTGTAAGTCTTCATCTGGGGAGGAGACCCAGGGACCTGGAAAGGTGTGGACAGGTCTGGGGAGAGAAGACAAGCTCCCCAAACTGTGTAGGGCTCTAGAAGCAGGCCTGGTCCTTATCCCACATCACCCAGCACTACTTACTCATTCAATTAGTACTTGAGCAGCTCCTGTGTGTAACGTCCCATGCCTGAGAGAGATCAAGCATTGATTTTGATTAAGGAGTTTGCAGCCAGGGCAGAGGAGGGCTCAAATAACTCAAGTGCAAGATAGAAAGTAATCAATGCTCTGTAGAGACCCAGACAAAAAGCCAATGGGGCCATCAGACAGGGATGGGAGTGGGCCGAGGCACAGAAGCATAGATATAGAGCAAGTCAGCCCGAGAGAAGGACTGTAACATAGTGACTTACAGCAGCGTTTGCCACTGAGCACTGTGACCTTGGGCAAGACAATGGGCCCTCTGAGCCCCACTTTCCTCATCTGTAAAATGGGCTAACCCTTTTCACATGGTTGTTAAAACATTCAAGATTGATAACACATGTAAAGGAGGTACAACGTGCCTAGTACATAGCAAGTACTTAACGCTATCAATCGCCATTCTTACGACATATGAGACATTTAAACTGAGGAGGGATTTGTGCATGTGGGGATGAGGACAAAAGGCACTGGCACTAGATCAGAAGTTCCAGGACCTGTTTGGGGAATAAGGAGTGGATTGGTTTGTCTGGAGTGTGTGAACGAGAGTCATCACAAGTCTGGCCAGATCTTGAAACTAGGACAACAGACCAGGGATTTTACTCTCTTTGTGGAAGTCAGGGAGGAGCCATTGAGGCTGTTGAGCAGTTCAGTAACAATACAGAGCTAGAGATCTCCAGCTACTCCTCCTTCTCATTTCCCACATTGGAATTACCAAATCTAACCAGTTTTGCCTCTATTTTTAAAACTGTTCCCTCTTCTTCAGTGCTAAAGCCGTGGGCCTCGTGGGATACCTCGTCATCTCTCCCCTGGACTATTACAGCCTCTGAACAGCTTTCCTCATTCTCTGGGTTTGTTCCCTTAGAATTGAGCCTTCACACTGCTGACAGCATTTCTGCTAACCACAATCAGATTGTTGTCACCCTCCTGCTTGGAAGCATCCTGGCTCTTGGTGGGACAGAGCATCCAGGCCCCTTCACAACCTGGCCCCGCCTTCCTCTCTGGCCACCCCCGCTTCCCCCTCCCCTGCCCACTCCTCCATTGCTTCCTGCTGCTCCAGCCTCATTGAGCCACTCAATGTTCCCTCAACACACCATGAACTTCGATGCTTCGAGGCCTTTGTTCTCCCTGGTCCCTCTGTCTGCACTAAGTGTTCATCTTGACCTGGGAAATTCCTACTCAGCCAGGTCTCGTGGAAATGTCACATTCTTTGTAGTCTCCTTTGACCCTTTCATGGGACTCTGATGGGTCAGAATGAAAGAGCCCCTCACTCCAGGATCTACTACATTCTGTGTACATCTCTGTCTACCACGGGAACTGTCGGTAATTGTCTGTTTTTCTCTCCATCATTCAGAGCTGGGCTTCATGCTGACTGCAGTAGATGAAGTGGTTAAGAAGGGAGATCAGAGAGGAAGGATATTGTTGCCAATCAGCTAAAGACAGGGGTGCCTGTCCTAGCTGGGGGGCCTGTGCCCTTTCCTACCTGCCGGCACCTTATAACCTGTAATTAGAGTTTGGACTGGGGGGATCTTGATGAGTCAGGTTCAAGGCTAAGCTGCTTTGGCTCATACTAGAGGGGGTGCTGGGTTCTTAAGACGTTGACATCCCTTCTCTTGTAGAAGATTCTCTGGGGCAGGCATTGCCAGCTCTCAGGTATAGCCTGTCATTGAGTTCGTGGTCTCCCTACCCCTTCTTGTGTCTGCTGCTGATCCAGCCCTGTATCCTGGCTCTGGGCAGCGGCAAAAAAGGACCACATTCTGTGGCTTCCAAGTTCCCAACCTGGGTGGTCCAGCCCAGCCACACCATTGTGGGTTCTTAGAACAGAAACCAAGGGAGGGGCCGAAGGGAGCCAGGATGCTGTTGTCTTGTGCTTTGAGACATCCAGGGAGAAAGGGAGTATTTGCAAGTCTGCTCATCCTTGGGTAATGCCCAGGGGATATTGAGCAGCCATCAGTACGTTAGATGTAGGCTGAAAGGAGATCAGAACAAGTCCAGGGTTTGGAGTAGCAGAAGCTAAATATGATTCAAGAGTGTCCATCACTCCCAGCTGGCTGGCTTAGTTGGAACGACCTCTGGACTTGAGTTAGGGGATGGAATTCTCATCCTGGCTCTGCCAATTACTGGTCAGGTGGCTTTGGACGAGGGACTGATCCTCTCTGTGCCCTAGTTTTCTCATCTGCAAAATGTGAGTAATATTCTAATAGGTGAGGACTAGAAAGAGAATGTGAGCGTAATTTTTCAGTATAAGGTCTGGAAGGATGTTCACCCAGGTGGATGCACTTATGGGGGATCATCCTGTGTTTTTTACTTGTCTGTTATATGTGGTTATGTGTGTATGAGAGAGAGAGGGTGGGGAGAGAGACAGAGAGGGATTAATAGATTACTGCACTGGTAATCACTCAAATAACAAAGTTATTCCAAAAAAAGAAAAACTATAACACACTAGAGAAACATGCAGTATAACTGTCACTATGGTTGCTCAGTCATCACCCTCACAGTCCCAAATCATCCATGAGAGCGACACTCCCGGGTCACAGCAGGACACCACCAATGCTAAGTGGCCAGGGCTTGGGGAGGAATCCCATCAGCTGCCGATGTGCAAAATGCCCCCAGCCTGCCCCATCTCTGGGGCCCAAGCCCACCTTCCCTCAATTCTTCCTCAATACAAACCTCAAACACAGCCTTATTATCAAACCACAGAAGGGAAATGCACTTTAAATAAGTGGTCTAGGAAAATGCACTTAATGTTCCATGAATAATTAGCAATTGTCTGATATTTCAGCTGTAGCATAAAGCAGCAACCCATGGGTTCTGGTGGGCACTGAATAGGCTGCACTTCAGAGGAGGGGGACATCTCTGCTGACATTTCAGGGTCACTGATTCACTGCTCAATTATCAAGCTAGCCCAGACCCAGTGAGATGAAACAGGAAACGGTCATTCATTTCAGCTGGCTGCAGACACTCAAACCATTGACTCAATGCCACTGCCCCAGAAGCTCTGGCTTAGAAGGTGATGAGACAGAAAAAAGTGGGAAGGAATCAGAGAGTGGGGCAGGGGAGAGAGAAGAAGAGAGGAGAGGTGGGGAGAGGAGAGGAAAGAGAATAGAAAAACAAAATCACAGAGAGACTGACAAGAAGAAAAAGCAATAAAGTGAGGAGACAGAGACAAATAGGGAGACAAAGAAAAAAGATGAGAACACTCAGAGACAGAGATGGAGAAGAGAGACGGAAAGACTTCAGAGAGCGAGACAGAGACTGAAAGAGACTAAGAAAAACAGGAGAGAGACAAGAACTGAGATGACAGAGAAAAGAGACTAGGACAGGAAGACAGATGCAGAGAGGAGAAATGAGGAGGAAAGAAACAGACGTGGAGAGAGAAGTGGCGACCCACAGAGAGACACAGAACGGCAGAGGGAGGCGAGGGAACTGAGAGAGGAGAGGGGGAGGAACACAAGGTGGGGCGGCAGGCGGCGGGCCCCTTACCAAAGTGAAAGGGGTGTTGAGCAGCGTGATCATGATGTCGGCGACGGCCAGGTTGACGATGAAGAGGCTGGTGGCCGAGTGCATTCGCTGGTTCTTGAAGATGACATGACAGACCAGGACGTTGCCAAAGAGTGAGAAGACGATGATGAAGGAGTAAGCCACGATGAGCAGGGCTTTCACCGTGGGGTTCTGGGACTCGGCGCCGTAGCGCCTCCTGCCCACAAAGTTCTGCCAGTCGGAGAAGGTGTAGTTGTTCCAGGAGAAGTGCGAGGCGTTGGCCACGGCCAGGGCCGCTTCGAGGCTCTGTTCGTCGTCCCGGCCCCCGTGGGGCTCGGTGGCTCGCACCAAGGGGAGGAGGCAGAGCAGTATGAGGTGAGGGACCATTTTGCAGGAGCCACCCCCACCCCTGGGAGCCTGCGGGCCGGGCGACCCTGCCCGCCGGGCTCCGAGCGCACAGCCGGGGCGCGGGGCGCAGAGCGCGCAGGGCGGTCCCGCGGACCAGGGAGCCCGGACCCGCGGAGCACCGCGCCGCCCGCCACCAGCCCGCGCTCGGCACGCCAGCTCCGGGCTTGTTGGGGCACTTTTCTATCTCTGCTCCCACCAGGCTGCTAGGAAGCGCCTCCGCCTATTGGGCAGCGCGGCGTCTCTCTCGGCGACGGTGACGCGCTCCGGCTCTGACAAGCCTGACTCCCCCCACCGTGCTGGGTGGCGCCGTTGCTGCCCCCACGCCCAGCCGCTTCCACTCCTGCCTGAAACTCCTCCGACAGGGGTTCTGTGCCCAGCGCGCACACGCTCGCGTGGTGTCTGCTTAGCCTCTTGGAAAGGAAGCAGGCAGGCAGGTGGGAGGAAGCCCACGGGGCACTTGGGATGTTGCGGGGCACGCTGCTAAAGCCGGGTCAGTGACAAGGATATATTCATTTGTTTCTACCTAAGCCTTGGCCTTGGCACAGTTTCAATGTCTAAGTGGATTGCTAGCGTCCTGGCGGTCCCAGGAACAAGGCAAACCAAAAAAATAGAGACATTAAGGATTCTCCAAGTCCCCCCCCCCCCCCCCCCCCGAGTATCTAGTTATCAGAGGTGCTGGAGCGCTTATGAAAGGCTGTTTCTTTGACAGCTCCCAGGAATGCAATGCGGGGAGCTTTGTTTTTCAAGGAAAGTCTTCACAGCAGTTCTGAGAGCATCAAAGAAGCAAAGGAGAAGAGGAGTTTAGCTATGTGCTCCCCACTTGGGTAACTGAGTTTTTCTGCCACGGAAGTCCGTGAAGCTGTATCTTTAAGGGGAATTATGACCCAGGCTGTTTTTCATTCCCCACCTTCTTCTGCAGGAAACCTCGCTATCCTTGCTCACCTGTTTTCACTTCCACTGTGAAATCTCTCCCAGTCACTTGTCCTCTGCCACCCACATGCCTGACCCTGTGGTTAAGACCATGGGGTCGGGAATTAGGGTCTAATCCCAGCTTGGCACTTCCTAGCTGTGAAATCTTCGAGCCATTTAACATTTTTGGCCTTCGTTAAGAGGTTTTCTTTTATTAAATGTGAGGTTTTCAGAGACGCCTGTATACATCTCTCACTACATTGCCCTCTGGTGCAAGAGATGCATATCAGTTTGACTACTTGTAACCACCTCTGACCCCCAACAGGAAACACCATGTAGATTCTTTCCATTGTGCCCTGAGGAGCAGTGTCCTTGGGCTGGGACCCAAACAATGACTCAAGCCTAGGTATCGCTCTTGTCTCCAGTTTTTCACTTCACGTTTACTCTTGAAGCAACTGTGTCTGGAGGAAAGGATGGCTAGTCGATATCCCTCAATTAAACTGAAGGACCTGGCAGGTCTCACAGGATTAAGTGGCTGAAATAGAGGATTATGTAACAGATCCTAGAAGGGACAAGGTGGTAGGCTGATGAAATAATACCTCTTTAGCTCCAGGAAATAAACCAAGAGACTGCATGTGAACACGTAACTCAAAGCTTGGGTAGACGTGCTGCTCCATCAAGATGACTTGGCATCATCTTAGGGAGGCAAGGCTGGAATATGACGTTTATTTAGAAAACAGAATCCTGGTCAATCAAATTTCAAACTGCCCAGTGTCAAGAAAGAGCATATGGACAGGAAAGGAATAGTCAGCGTCAAGCTTAAGAGAAAGAAGTCAAAGGGAGCCAGTGCCCTCCAAAGAACTCTCTTCCAAGTACCCCAGCAGGTGCTTGCTAGCCGGCATATTTGTAATCTGGGCCACCTAACTCTTATTACAGATCTCAGCAGCCTCAGCTTATGATTCCCCTCCCCTCTTCCTTATTAAATCAAGAACTTTGACCTTTTCACATAAAGGAAGTACTTTATAGCTTCTGGGTGGCATATGCTAATTGCCAGCATTGCTACTTTTGCAGCTTTGGGGCCATTATAAGCAAAATAAAGATTAATTGTACATGATCACTGCAATACCTTGACAGGCACTCTGACAACTGAGGTGGCTACTGAGTGACTGAGGAGGAGGTACTGCATAGATATGCTGAAAAAAGGGAGGATTCACATCCTGAGTGGACAGAGTAGGGTGGTGCAAGATTTCATGAGAAACTGTGGAAAGTGAAACCTTGGATCAGGCGTCCCCAAACTTTTTACACAGGGTGCCAGTTCACTGTCCCTCAGACCGTTGGAGGGCCGTCACATACTGTGCTCCTCTCACTGACCACCAATGAAAGAGGTGCCCCTTCCTGAAGTGCGGCGGGGGGGCCGGATAAATGGCCTCAGGGGGCTGCATGCGGCCCGCAGGCCGGCCGTAGTTTGGGGACGCCTGCCTTGGATAAAGGGCGACTACTGTAATATCACATAGAGGTCCAAGAAAGAGGTTGTGAGAGCCTCACCACATCAATATTCCTAACACTGCAAACAATGCCCCTTTAACACCAATATTATTCTCTGAAAAGGCCCTACTTGAGTTAAAAACTCACCACATTCACAGTTCCTTATGGTACTAATCACAGTGGCAGAAGAGAAGAAACAGCAGTTCAACAGTGCCAGGCACATGACAGTCACTCCTAGCTTGTTTAATTGTACAAGTTGTATGTCATCGTACTGGAATTACGAATGAACCAAGGAAGCCTGAAATACCAAGTACAGCTGAAGATATGCTCAAATGCAGTAAAACTGCAAAATGTCTAGGCAGGCTAAGCTAGGAATTGCTTTCCGAGTTCCAATACACTGAGCCATAGAGTAAAAAGGTATATTTAGGCAATGTAAAAAGAAGTACACCCAAGCTCCAACTTCAAACAGTTTGTGGCCCCAAATTAAATTCTAAGTTGCTTGAACTTACTCTGTCCTTTTACATAGAAACTTTTCTAAATGGTGGCTAGGGTCCTGAGCCAACTCCAACAACCCATTTAACCCATTTATGGATCAACAGTAGCATTAGTTGTACCACAGGATTGCTAGCTAAAGTTCAGGGCTCCAAGGGGTTATGCTTCATTATCTGCTCCTCTTAAATTAAATGTCCCCCGGGGTGATCTCAGCCACCTTCACCAGTTTAACCATCCATCACTCACGAATGACTCCAAGATCTGTACCTCACTTACCACCTCTGTTAAAAGCTCCAAATCTGTATTATGTAGTATTTCACTGTTAATTGGACGTTTTCACCTGGAATGCCCACACACTTCAACAAGCTCCAAACTCTATTATATCTTGCTCTTCCCTCACTTTCTTGTACTTGATCCTTTTCCTGTTGACTTGTCCACCATGGTTAGAATCTTGTGGTCATCTCACCCATCACCAATTTCATGACACTATGTATTTGAGGATGCTGTTTCTCTGCCTGAAGTCATGCCCTCCACCTTAGAGCCAGAAAAACTCCTCTTTATTCTTCAAGACCCAGCTCAAATGTTATCTCCTCTCTGAAGACTGTCTGACCCCCTTGACTGCCACGACCCCAGAACAAGCAAAGTCGGTATTCCCTCATCTGCTCTTTTTAAAGTGCAGATGCATTCTCTGATACTGTACTTCCCTTGTTGGGGTCTCACAATTTGCTACACATGTATTTCCTATGAAACTGTCAGCATTACCAGGCCAGGAATTACTGTATTCCTAATGTTATCTCCTACAGCCTACTACTAAGACAGGGAAAACAGGCAGTACTGAGTTTGAGAAACTGGCCCTGGAATCAGACAACCCAGGATGCAGGTGCTTATCTCTCTAAATACTTTTTTATCTGTCTAGTAAGTTCCTGGGACATATCTATTTTTTAATTTTAATTTTTTTATTTTTCCATAAGCTGTTGGGGAGCAGGTGGCATTTAGTTACATGATCAAGTTTTTTAGTGGTGATTTGTGAGCTCCTGGTGCACCCATCACCCAAGCAGCATACTCTGCAGCATATTTGTAGTCTTTTATCCCTTGTCCCCTCCCACTCTTCCCCCAAAGTCCCCAGAGTCCATTGTATCATTCTTATGCCTGCCTTTGCATCCTCATAGCTTAGCTCCCACATATCAGTGAGAACATATGGTGTTTGGATTTCCATTTCGGAGTTACTTCACTTAGAATAATAGTCTCCAATCTTATCCAGGTCACTGCAAATGCTGTTAATTCATTCCTTTTTATGGCTGAGTAGTATTCCATCATATATACATATATTATATATAGTATATATAATACCGTATACTATATATACTATATTATAGTGTATATAATATATACTATATATTAACTATATACTATATATATACTACATATATACTATATATGTATATATGTATACTATGTATTATATATGTAGTATATATTATATAGTATATAATATATATTACATATTATATACTACATAATATACATTTATTACTATATAATATATATTACATATACAATATATATATTACATATTATATACTATATGGTATATAGTATATACTAAACATAGTATATTATATATACTATATAAAATACTATAGTATATTATATATTATATATGATGGAATACTATATATTATATATGATGGAATACTATATCATATATAATATATATTATATCATTATATGTAATATGTATTATGTATATATTATTACGGATCACATGGTAGTTCTACTTTTAGTTCTTTAAGAAATATCCACACTCTTTTCCATAGCGGCTGTACTACTTTACATCCCAACTAGCAGTGTAGAAGTGTTCCCTGATCACCACATCCATGCCAACATCTTCTGTTTTTTGATTTTTTGATTATGGCCATTCTTGCAGGAGTAAGGTGGTATCGCATTGTGGTTTCGATTTGTATTTCCCTGATCATTAGTGATGGTGAACATTTTTTCGTATGTTTGTTGACCATTTGTATATCTTCTTTGAGAATTTTCCATTCATGTCCTTAGCCCACTTTTTGATGGGATTATTTTCTTACTGGTTTGTTTTCATTCATTGTAGATTCCGGGTATCAGTCCTTTTTTAGATGTATAGATTGTGAAGATTTTCTCCCACTCTGTGAGTTGTCTGTTTACTCTGCTGACTGTTCCTTTTACCACGCAAAAGGTTTTTAGTTTAATTAGGTCCCAGCTATTTATCTTTGTTTTTATGAGTTTGCTTTTGAGTTCTCGGTCATGAACTCTTTGCCTAAGCCAATGTCTAGAAGGGTTTTTCCAATGTTATCTTCTAGAATTGTTTATAGTTTCAGATTTTAGGTTTAAGTCCTTAATCCATCTTGAGTTGATTTTTGTATAAGGTGAGAAATGAGGATCGTTTCATTCTCCTACATGTGGCTAGTCAATTACCCCAGCACCATTTGTTGAAAAGGGTGTTGTTTCCCATTTTATGTTTTTGTTTGCTTTGCTGAAGATTAGTTGGCTGTAAGTACCTGGGTTTATTTCTGGGTTCTCTATTCTGTTCCATTGGTCTATGTGCCTATTTTTATACCAGTACCAGGCTGTTCTGGTAACTATGACCTTATAGTATAGTTTGAAATGAGCTAGTGTGATGTCTCCAGGTTTGCTTTTTTTTTTTTTTTTTTCTGCTTAGTCTTGCTTTGGCTACGCGGGCTCTTTTTTGGTTCCATATAAATTTTACATTGTTTTTT